GGAAAGTTGAGGAGCTCCAAAGTGGTCCAGGTTACCTGTATTAGAGCTCCCCCCTCAGGCAATGAGGGGAACTCTTTATCTCAATGGCAAACCCTTAGACATGCTTTGCATGAGAATGTGCAGCATAATTTATGAGAAATATGAATTGACTGCCTTATTTTCTTATTCATTTATAACTTTTAAAATGTTTTATTTAGAAAATATTTATCCATACTTGACTGAATTTCAGAAACATTGTTATGTCTTTTTTTTGCCTTTTTATTAACACTCATTAAACCGATTTAGTTGATACCTGATAAATGAGAAATGATGTATGATTATGACCACATTAATAGAAAAATAATTAGCGTTTTCTATATTATTATTATTTCACAATTTTGATAATGTTTTTCTTTATGTGATGCTTTTCATCAGCTTCTCCTGCCAAGTTGGCCTTGTATTCTGGAACTGATATGAAATATTGTGAACAGCAGGATTCCCAGGCAGAGCTATGCTATAATATCCCTAATTAAACTTTAACATATCTCCAAATATGTGACTTCCCTGCAGAATAAGCGGCAGATGTTGTGTTAGACGAAACCCACAGTGGCTTTTTGGACGTGCACGCGAGGAACTAAATTGCCAAGTTCAGCTGCCTGATGTGCTGAGCCCTCCACCTCTTGCAAACAATTCCGTATTTATAATGTCATCTTATCATGCTCCCCTTGAAGGCAGCAGCAAGTGCACTTATGCCTTCCTTTGTTAGGGTGAGTTGGCAATTTCCTGCAAGATGGAGCAACTGCAGGCAGCCTTTTTCTTTGATAATGTCCCTGACACCTGGACCAAACTGCTGTTTCAATCACTTTTCCAGCCAGGAAAGGAACATGTCATAAGCCTCCTGCCACCCAGAGTCACTCACTATGCATTTAGCAGCACTTTCCTCACTGTACTTCACAGGATGTAGAGGTCAGAGCCAGTAGGAGAGACTTTATGTGGAAAGTCTACATGATGAGCTGCATCAAAAAAAGAAACAGTCGTTTTTTTTCCCACTAGATGTTTGCTCCTATCACATTTGTCCAGGCGTTATTCTGTATTCAGGGAAATAGATTAGTTTTAATATAGTCCACATTATTGTACCATGTAAAGCTGGTTATTAAGCAGCAAGCCTGAACAAGTGTTTATTACAGAGGCCTGACAGATTGATTCTAAATTATAATTAATCAGTTGATTTTGACCCACAGATTGTGATTGTGCCCTGTGAGTTTCATTTATTCAGCTTTTCTTCTGGCTCGGCTACAATCACCATAGACCTGCAGGACTCTCAAGCAAATTAACAGTGTTCATGCTACCCTGCAGCCATAATGAAAATATCAGTCAATCAAAACCCGTATTATGCTGTGAAATCCTACCACATATCTCCAGACCTGCATGCAAATAGAATCTGCAGGCAGTTTCAGCTTCATGGCCTGCAGAATATCAGGAAATCAATATTTTAAAAGCAATGTCTTCTATCCCTCTGCCGTGCCTCTGTTGGGGATCATGTTTAGGTGCAATAAGGAATCGTATTTAGATGTGACACCTCATGGTGTTGGGTCTTGCTGGAATGTGAGGTCCCATCTGCAGCCTGTCTGCAGGCATGCTTGTGAACATCTGTAAGGTGGACAGGCTCAGCCAGCATCTCCATGTTGTTGCTCACCACACCGTGCTACTGAGGGCACTTCAACCCCCAGACCCTCCTCACAGGTACCCCACAGCCCGCCGCCGCACGCTACTCATTTACTGCTACGCTGGTTTTCATAATTAGCGCCGCAAGGCCTCATTAAATCTGCTCTAATGAATAAATATTGTATTTCATAGCCTGATTACCAGATCAGCTCAAGGCTTGAGCGTTGTAAACAATTACTTCCCTAAATATTCATCACCCCAAAGTGGATGATCATTGATATCTAATACAGGACCAGTATTCTCAAGTGCATCTTTATTATACTAATAATAGTTTTAGAAATCCTTCTTTTGGAAGGAAGAGCATAAGAAAAAGAGCTGATGTTATAATTGAATGTATGTATAGATATTGTCTAAAAAGAATGAGTAATTATAAACTCATCTGATTGATAATGAATAAATTATCTAATGCTAATTAAAAATGAGATATAACTACTAGTTTATGAAATGATTGTTAGTATTAAGTACATTCCTGATTTAAAAACATTCAAAACTAGAGGTAATAGTTTAACTTTTCCTGAAAGGCAGAATGCAAATGAAAAATCAGCATTTCTCGTATTTCTTGCAGAGTAAATGGTTGGATGTTATTAAAAAATAAACTCTATACTCTGATATGAAGACTGAAAGAGCAGGTCAGCAGTACTCCTGCATCTCCGCTGATTAATCACTGTATATAACTTTATATTGGTTCATTAACCCTTTCTAATCCTGCTCTGCAGCATATCCTGCTAATGATTTTTAAACTATCTCAATATTTCAAAAAGGAGTGTTCTCATGTTCTGAACAGTTGCAGGTAAAATAAGTTTATTTATTTATTCATTTATTTACTAGGCCAGTTTAGTCATTTATAGGTTACAAAAAGTAGATGCATTTTTGTGAAGATGCTGAAAAAGAACTTTCCAAGATGTCAGACAAATGAAATGAATCAGAAACAAAAGAATATGAAGAATAGTTAAGATGCTGTGCAAAACAATTCAGAAATAATAACAAAAACATAAAAAAGAGAAATGCTAATATCACATGTCACAATGGGTTTCCACAGGACTTTCAGAAAGAGATTCAGATTGTGTTAAAAGGTAACACAGGTAAACATGCTTGACCCATAGATTTAGGTTTGCATTCACAATCATGTTTGCTTATGTGAACTTGGCTACAATAGAATGAGTTGTGCAGCTGTGCGGATGATTTATCTCATCTTATTCTCAGTGTTCTGCATGACTAGTGTCATGCAACTTTAGTCCAACTGCTGTCTTCATTTCTGCTCAACAACAACAGCATTTGTACCAGAAAGCCTGCGGGCTCTGATGATAATAATAGCAATAATATACAGATAGGCGACAATGTGGGCTGTAAACAAAATGCTGAAAGGCTGAAAGTCACTAAGCAGCAAAAGCACAACAAGAACCAATATTCTGATCAGACAAATTCAGCTGAAATTTTGATAATTTAATTGTTTCAAACCTTGTAAGAGCAGAATCCCAACAAGCAGGTTGTTCTTACCTGATGTTACCATCCATTTGCAAAACCAAATTAGTCCTCAGAGTTGGAGCAATTCATTAGACAAGAGGCTGCAGGTCATTCAAAATAACACATCGATAAATGCAATTCAGTCAACAGTTAATCTAAGATCAATTTCTCTGAGTTTTTTGAGGAAGCTGGATAACCAGAAATACCCAACCAACCTCAAAGAACACTAAACAATGAGGTATTTGGCATGTTTGCCTCCACTTCCTGGGCTTTCAAATCCATCTAAGCCTATGAAATGTTGTACAGCAGTGATATAAGAATCTAAATGGCTAAAAGTCATCATATATATGTCACGGGTAAAGTCATATTTGTTTAAAAAAAAAAATATGAATTGTCATCCTGCTATACTTTATTTGCAGCAAATGTGTTTTTATTGAGCTACCAGTTACCTTAAAAGTTGCTGTTGAAGCTTCAATTCAAAGAATGAAGCCAGAACTGAATCAAATAGTTCATACTGAATCAAACTGAAGGGTTCATACCATTTTCTGATAGTAAGGAGAGGAAAAGTTACCATTTACTAATTGTTTAGTTTTTCTTCTACTTTGGGCTGGTGGTGCTTGTTAAATGTTTATTTTTTTAGGTCACTAGCTAGTACCATTAAATCATCAACAAATAGAGTATAGCTTAACATTTGTGAAACGTTCTTTGACCATCTGGAGCCTCTCGGCACATGGACTTTTATATATTAAAATATGGCTGCTTTTATATTGCAGATTTAGCTGAACTGCCACAAAACTAGGTATTAAGGTAACTGAACTCAAGGTAGTTACAAAATGTCAGAAAAGGTTTTTATATTGAACACAAGTCTTAGTCACTTCTTTAAATGTATAACCGTATTTTAAAAATACAAATAAACATTCAGCCATTGGTCTGATGTGGAAATGGAGAGTGGTAAAACTGTTTTTTTAGTAATTATATTGTAAAAAGGTTATTACAATACAATTACTAAAAAAAAAAAAAAAAAAAAACTGTTGACCATTTGACTCCTGAATCCATTAGCTTACAAGAGTTGATAGTCAACTCACTGCTTGATTGCCAACTGTTCTGGTGGCAAACCCCCCCCCCAAAAAAAAAACATGACCAAATCATTACTCCACCACTACCGTGCTTTAGTTTCCCACTTTAGGATGTGACTGTTTCACATTAATAAAGCTTTGCATCTGTTGTGCATTTATATGCTTGAAGTTAAATTTTAGATAATTCCAGCTCCTTGCAGGGTAGATTTATATATATATATATATATATACATATATATATATGAATTTTAATAAATACACTTTTCCCCACGACCTCTTATCTATATTAACAAAGGTCATAACTTTCTGACCAATTGGGACTCATCTGGTTTGAAAAAAATACCCTACAGGGATTTCTGCTGCTGCCTTAATGCAGCACCATGCTGATGTGCATGGTTATTATCTGATCCATTCAAGCATGTGCAAACAGTAAGGTTGTGCTGCTGATGGTGTTTGTAGGACATCAGCTTTTTTCTGATTATTCTGAAGAAGTTAAGGTTTTAGGAAAAGAACAAGCTGTACCTCCATAGCTACAAAAAAACCTCCTGGTTGTATTTCCTTCCTTTGGATTGTCTGTTTCAATAGCAGTAATTACAGCTGCCACTGTTAAAGAGACGACCACTGACATGATTTGCACCAATTAATGCTTTATTGAACAGGTCCATAAAACACAACAAGCACATTTCCTTTGTGCTTTGGACATTGAACCAACAGTATAAAAACCTCCACCTGTAATTGTCACCCAAAAAAAAAAAGAAAAAAAAAAAAGAACAAAACTGATCACATTTTGCAAAAGCATCTTAGGATTAAACATCTTTAACCACAGGTTCAGTCTAGAGATGAAGAATAGCAGAAGGGTTGATTTTCATGAGCGCTGTGAGCAGAAAACGCAGCCTATAACTCTGCCACCACTTCAGAAGCACCTCCAGCCATTTCTGCTCAACAACTGAACGGCAGAAAATGAGCTGCGGAGGCTGGTGCAGAGTGAGAACGTGCTTTAACAGGACAAAGTGATTTACAGGTATGAGATTCCCATTAGAGTGTGCTAATTGTTTCCACACCATTAGTGACAGTTATCTAATGAAGGATATTTAACCAGGCGCTGCAGTTTATCACATCTCCTCACGGTTTAGAGGAGGAAGGCAGTGGACCTCGCCCTATATGCCCTTTTTCCAACCTACAGCCGGAGGACCTGGGGACGATTTTTTACACTATAACAGACAGGAACGTTCTCATTCCAGCAAGCAAAAATAAAAGCCACTTGTAAAAACACAAGCATTAAAGCCGAAGCCAGGAAAAAGGAAGATTCGGTTTAACAATGTTTCAAGAGAATACATTTAAAACAATGTACAGCAGAAGGGGATCGGTCTAAAGCCGTCAAAACAACATTTGCACCCTTGGATGATTAATTCGATTACAGAATTAATTTATCTAGATATCAATCTATGGCTTAAAATCTGTAGCTTTGAAAATTGGATAACCACTTCGACTAATTTATATCCAGTTCCCATGCTGCAAATACTGAGCTATGTAGTAGAAACTGGTCAGGAACCATGTCAGTCATCAACAATATCTGCAGAAGATTTGTCTCCACTTTTCACTTGCTGCTTTCTTCCTCCATCTCCTTTTTCAAGCTGCAAAGAATAGAAGTACATGTTACCAACACTTCACGTATATCAAAATATCCCAAAGATTAACCTTAAAGTCAAGCTGGATGATTTTTCTGACCAGCCGTTGAAATTGCAATATTTTCCAAGTTAGTATAGTCAATTAATGAATGTATAACACTCTTTGGTTTAGACGACCTAGGAAGAAAATATCCTTTTGTGTTTGTTTTAAGATTTAAGTGAGGTTTGTGGAAAAAAAATGTGAAATTTTCCAAGGCTATTCAAAGGGAAAGTATTACTACTCCATGTCTGCTGGTTATTCTGCATTAGAGCGAGAGAGAGCAAGACTTTCAGCAAATAAGAGCGAGCCTGTATCTGATTACAGCAAAACTGAGCTGCTTTTTATCCATTTAAGGCATCAACTCCAACCTGACATTTACCTCACATGATTGATCAGCTGTTTCCACTGTTAGTCCCAGATGCTCCTATTATGCCCGTAAACATGGCCGGCAAGTTGTTCTTGTGTTAACATAAGAACAACTAGCCAGACAGCAACACATTGATTAATACTTCCCTCCAATACTGATCTGTGGTCCATGCAAAGTTGCAGCCTCTACATCCTGTTTATTACAGCCATGCATGGCGACGTAAAGTGGAAAATGAGGTACGACGACATTGAGCTTTGCACCGCTTGGTTAATTTGCTTCAAACCAAATAGATACACTGCTAATACCATTTCCTTTTTTCAAATTAAAAGCCATTACCAACTAGTTTTATATACTAGCACTCATGGCAGGAAGAGCAGAAATGTATTGTACATGATCACTACCGTGTTATATTGTCGTTTCTGGTTAGAAATCCAAAGAGTCAAAAATAGAAATCAGCAGCTGTAATGCTTACAAAAAATAAATAGCAAGTGGAAAAAAAATAATGAATATACAGTATTTACAGTGGACATATACAGTGCTTCAGTATGTAGATGCACTGTATATATATCCTTTTTTCTTCCTTTGGCACATTTTTCTTTGACTATTTGAGTTGATGTTACGAGTAAATTTCTCTACTGTGAGATGAATAAATTCTATTAATCAATACCAGATTCCGTGATCACCAAGAAAATAAAATTCAATTAAAAGGTCAAGGGAACTCTCACCTTTTCAAGTAAGCATGCACATTATCAAAGCCATGGTATTTAGCCAGGTAGACCAGAACCCCCGTAGCACAGCGGCCTTCTCTGGCCCGACAGAAGCTGCAGTTACAGATCCCTCTGCAAGGCGGACATTGCCACTCCTGCAACAGACACAGGTGTTATTAACCACTAACATGCATCCCTAAACGTAATCAAACTGCTAAATAACGCAGTACTTACTGGATCCAGCAGAGCATCCCGGACCTCCTCGCCATACCGGTTACGGAGGCACGGGCCACAGAACTGCCCCCTCACCCCAACACACTCTGGATTACGGCAGTTGGTTTTTGTGTCGGTCGTCTTCTGTCGGCACTGGTGGCAGGTAGAACCCTGAAAGAAAACAGAATAAAATGATATCAGTCACTCAGCTGAACAACGCTTATCCTTCTCAGATGTCCAATGATGTAGGACTCACAGTGGAGCTGTTGTAGACCTTCTCTCGGACATTGTAGCAGATTTTCTGTAGCTCCAGCTCGCTAATTTCCTCTACCGGTCGAACCACATGAGGGATGGCTTTAGACCTGTTATAGGATCGGCTACGGGGCTGTAAGGAAACCAGTGTTACCACACTATCAATGCTAAGAAGGTGGGGTGATTTTTGGCTGCTAATGATTAAACTTACAGCTTCATCATACTCTTCGTAGTAGGGGCTTTTGCGAACCAGGCTGAACTTATCGTTGGAATCTTCCTCAGGAGGCGGGCTGGGAGGTCCCTCCAACTTGGAGCGAGACCGTGTGGAGATCCGCCGACTGGGGGTTCTCAACTGATGCCACGTCATCCGTCTTGGCTGAGAGAAAAAGACATTAATATATGCAAAACTGTACTTTTTTAAATAGAATATTCATTGTAGGTATCTCTTACCGTAGCTGAAGCCGACTTTGCCATGCGTTTCCCTGGAAGGAGTCCAGGTACTTTGTTCAGCTCTGCTAAGAGCTTTGCAAGCTGAAAATAAATCAATAGACATGATGAAAGGGCAACAGGGTCACAGAGATGTACAAAGTAATCTAGAGGTGATGAGGTGAGGCAATTAAAAATTTAATTTTAAATAGAGTAAAGAAAGTTTCCTTCAGTTTCAGCCTTTGTACAGAAGATAATTAAGATTGAATGTTTTCTCTCCATCATTAAGTTATAGTTCTGGATGAAAACTAAAAATGGCAGCTTAAAAAACTGGTGATCAAAAGTCATTCGCTAAAGTTTAGTACATATCTAGCTCAAGTAGTTTGACCAAAAAGAGACGGATCGTACCATTTCTTTATTTTCCTTAATATTCAAGGCCCTCTTCGTCATGAAGTTCTCCTCTTCCTCATCCTCAGAGTCCTGCACTTTAGGCTGAGGCAGAGGTTCGGATGCAGGTCTCTTCCTGTCCATCTTCTTTGTTGGGAACGTCATCGCAACTTTTAGGACATTTGACCTGCGGCCATGTTTTGGAGCCTCACAGTCTACTTTCTAGGAGAAAATAAAATAAAGATATATATCCAAAAGAAACCTACAATATTTATAAAGCAGTGTTAAAATCTCAGCATTATTTACCATTGCTTTGATCTGCCTGCTGATGACTTTCTCCTCAAACCCGCTGCACGTGTCCTCCTCTGACGTGGCTTCAAACCCCTTTGGTTTCTCAGTAGTCCTCCTTGTATGATTCAGGCTCCTCCTCTAAAGTCAGAGAAATTTATAAGCTGCAACGATCACAGCTACTTGGCAAGACTGCAACCAGATCCTGAACTTTGCATTTAATCATTACCGTATTCACAAAGCCTCCATCAGAGCCGAAGCTGTCGCAGCTGTCATCAGAAGAGGAGGATGAGGTCTCCATGGGGACCAGGGGGACACTACGGAAGCTCCTCAGGCTCATCTTAGTTGTTGAAGACTGGGCCACCAGTTTCTATGTGAAAAACATAAAACCATATGATCAGATTGGGATTCATAGTACACTGAGTAACCCTTTCATTAGGATTAAACACTTTAATATAAAAAACTAAATAAATGCAAGCACTATTAAACCAAGATATATATATATATATATATATATATATATATATATATATATATATATATATATATATATATATATATATATATATCCAGTTCAGAACTCATAATATCAACCAAGTACCTTATAGTTTTTAAACTTTAACACATCAAAGTTGAAAGAATTTAATATTTACGATTTCAAAGGGTTTAGGGATTAATATCACATTTGCACAACTATACAGTCCAAAGTCTGCTGAACAATGTCCCATCTGTAGTTTGAAGGACACACCCCTGAGCACAAAGTTCAATGTATTAAAAAATAAAACTAAATATATATTGAAAACTTCGTTCTTTGTTAAAAGCCATGCAAAAAGTTAAAGTACACATTAGAAGATACATGTTTAAAGATTTTTTAACTACCTAACGATAATTGAAAATAGCTCAATAGTTATATTTCTATTCAATATAAATTATTCTTAAAGGACTTAAAAGTGATGAAGTAACTGTAATTAAAGGCGGCTGGTTGCTAATCTTACCTGGGAGCGGGTGAACGGCATGTTTGTCCTGTAGAAGTGGTCTAAATCGCCTGATAAAGCAGCTCACCGTGCAGCAGCAGCTCAGCAGCGAACAAAGCAGGACTTGCAGCTGCAAGTAGCCACACACCGTTCATTTCCCGCGCCACCGTAAGGTCCTGGAAGCTACATAGTAATATTCAGCGAGTTGTATCAGCCTAAAATAATAAATATACTATTATGGACGTTTAAATGAACACTTCGTTATAGTTTTACTGTTTACTTTTGCGCAATGTGTATTTAAGTTCTGATATATTTTTGATCAACGCATTAACCGCGGGTTTTGTTATGGAACTTCCGCGTTCCTGCTAGTGGCGCGAACATATCGCTGCTTAATTAGCATACAAGGCGCGTAAAAATGTTGTGACCCCATCCAAGTTACCGGGTTTCATGGTAAAAAAAAAAAAAAAAAAGGTTTATGAGGGGTGACTGTTAAATGTAGACATTTTTCTGTGTTGATGAACGCTATGTAGGAAACATGCGGTTCTTACATAAGAGAATATTCTGGTTTAAAAAAAAAAAAGCTGAGGTGTTTTTCAAGCTGTTCAAGGACTTTCTGACTTTTGTAAAGTAAGACTAACACAACAGAACTGTGATATTTCACTTTAAACATCAAACTGAGAGCAATATATCAACATATATGGTATCAGTATGTTTTCTGATAACCAGGAATGGGTCATGATTCAAACACTTCCAGTGTTTTTAAGCAATTAATAAGTGCAGTGAAGGATTTTGTTTGTTGTTCAAAGAGAATAAAGTGTGAAACAGTACAATGGCTTTTAAAGTACTCATACTTAAGCTACTTATTACTTTAATATGGTCGAAATTAATTAGCCATTTTGTCTTTCATGTTCTTTTCTACTCTGATTTAAACTTTTGAAATTGAATTTGTTTGATGATTCAATGTTTTTTTATGAGGCATCTGTTCTGTATGTGGCCATCCTCTCCTGTTTTGTTTTGTATGTGGAATGTCTTGTAAGCCCGTATCAGCTGGGCACCATGGTGCATGGCATTAAAAAAAGCAAATCACAAATCTTAGCATATGAGGGGAAAAAACCCCAGAAAAACAAGTGCTTTTGTTAAACAAGAAGCCTTACTTTGATATGAAATGTCATTGTGCATGGCTGATCAGTGGTGCAGTGGGTAGCACTGGTGCCTTGCATCAAGAAGGTTCTTGGTTTGAACCCGTGCATGCTCTCCCTGAGCATGCACAGGTTTTCTCCGGGTACTCTGGCTTCCTCTCACAGTCCCAAAACATGTCTGTTAGGAAAAGAACCTGTGATGGACTGTGGACCTGTTCAGGGTGTACCCCGCCTCTCACCCATGACAGCTGGAGATAGGCACCAGCCCCCTCATTACTCCACCTGCGATTAAGTATGTCAGAAAATGGATGGATGTCGATGTGCATTTTTCTGGTGTTTAATTGGGGAGTGGCAGTCTAGTGATTAGGGAATAGAGTTTGTAATCCTGAGTTTGACCCTTAATCCCAAACTGCTCTGGGAGACTGCCATAGTAGGGCTGCCATCGCCCACTGCCCCCCAAGGGGATGGGTTAAATGCAAAGGTAAATTTCTCCAACGTGAGATCAATAAACTTCAACTATTATTATTATAGTTATACATGCCTGTTCTTTATTTATTTAAGATACCTACAGTATGGTGGATTGAGTAACTAGAAACTATACTCAAGTAGGCACAGTAATACTTCCAGTGAAATATTAGCTTCCAGTGAAGCTAATATTTAAACTGTGCTGCAGTAAAACTACTCATTTGAGTACTTTTTTTGTTTTGGAAATTGTTACTCAAGTATATGTAACTAAGTAAATGTAACTAGTTACTATTCACCTCTTTTTATCGATCATTTATTTTTAACAATGGACCATACTAGCCTGCCTTGCAAAAGTAGGGGGTGGGGGTGTTACAAGCCTGAGATTTTAACCCAGGTCCTACTTGCTGCAAGGTAACAGTGCTGCCAACTTTTCCACTATGCAGCATATAAACCTTTAAAAAACTGATATACAAACAAAAAATGTGAAGTAACCGTGCAATAAGGTAATTACAAAAATCTCACAATCAACATGACTGTTTAGAACTCACCACTTTAGCTCAATAAAAATCATTAGTCTTTTACCTACTAAGTAGCTAGAGCATGCTAGTACATATAACCATTCATTACCCTGTAATTTTTCTAGTATTACATCAGGATATTATGATATTGCTGTTATTTTCTTCACATTAGGGCAGGGTTTATGGTGTTGCAGCTGTTAGCACTTTTGCCTCTCAAGGATAGGTCCTGGGATTTAAATCCCAGCAGGAACCCCCAGCTTCCTCCATCATGCATGTTAGGTTAATTGGCCCTGATAAACTGCCCCTTAGGTTGAATGGAGGTACCCCCAGCTCTTGACAACCCGATGAACACAGTCCCACAGGCAGATTTAACAGATAAAAAAAAAAAAAAACAGATGGATCATTCACTTCAGGTGAAATAGGCTTTCAAATTATGGATTATGTTTTTAACTAAATGTTGTAAAAAGCAGCTGGATGTTGGTTCAAAACCCAATCTCCAACCACTAGTATTAGCTCAACCTACAGGGATAGCCAAATCCCCCTCCTTGGGTTGTTTATAATATAGAAGGTTTAATAGGAAACTGGATTATGGGAAAACAAAAGCTCACATTTTACTGAAATGAGTAGGGTTCTACTGGAACCAAGATCTGGTACCAGGTCCTGGGTCTGGTGTTGTTCAGTATGAATAGATGGGTTTCTAGGCCTGAGTACTTCTAATTTTATGATTTACTTGTTATATACATAAAATGAGTTTCAAAAATAAGAAAAACAGGAAAAGTTCAGATAAAAATGTAGAGGATGGTGACAATTGTGAGGAAGTATAGAGAAGGCCAGCTTTCAGAAATGGTCTGAGTCACTGGAAGCAAGCTGTGTAGAAAATTCATTCAAAAATCTCTGCCCAGAGCTGTGTTTATAAAATCGATAAAAAGCACAAGGACAAAAAACATGAGAAACTCCAAAACTTTTTAAAAAATTTTACTTTGGTGTTTTGTTTCCATTTGCATAAAACCAGTTATAAATACCTTTTTAAAACTAGTCCATTAGTGAATAGCATCTTTAATTCAGCCCATAAACTAAAATTAATAAAAGACTTAATTATCTGTTTGGTGTAATAATAAATACATTCATAGCCCAAAGACATGTTTATCTAAAAAGGAAGATATAAAAGTAGTTGAAGCTTCACTGGTATGCCCCCAATCCTCAGTGTGATTCTCTTTAAACATCCTCTCAGAGAAGAAGCTGCTGAGGTCCACATTATAATCTTCCTCCAGCACCACGTCCTCCCCGTCCTTCTCTCCTCCCCCGACCTCTGACTGGTTTAATATCTTGTCGGGTTGTTTTTTTGTGTCGCTCTACTTTAATCCACCCTCCATCACTGGCTTTGCCCACCTCTTTTTCTTCACTGGGGTTTCCTGTCACAGACCATATACCTGGTATCAGCGGCGGGCGGCTCTGTGGCGTGATGCTGTAACTGTTTGATCGAGGCCTCCCTGGCTGCCGTGAACCTTTTCCACTCTTACTGCTTCCTCTGTTGTTTGTCCACCCTTGCCACCTCCCCTGCCCGCCTCCCACTGCTAGCGTCTTGCTGTTCCTCCGTTGGTCGTGCATGCCTCCAGCACTGCGAGGGCGCTCCCGCTCTGATGTGCTCTCTGAGGTAGTGCTGGAAGGACTGCTGCCCTTTGACCCGAGGTTGAGCGGCAACAGTTTGGCTGACAGACTGGCGGTAGGTGAGGAGCAGCGAGAGTCGCTCCAGGGAGAGGGGCGGAGGTGGTTTGGAGATCTGCGCACGGCGGCGGCGTATGAAAATGCCTGGCTTTCATGGGCAGAGAGGAACTGAGGAAGAGTTTGGGCATCAGAGCTGTTCAGACGAGTCGTCCTCTGCTGTGACTTCTGGGTCATCATATGCTTGTGCCTCACATCATTCATCCATGCAGGATCAAAATCTTAAATAGATCATACACCAAGTACTTTAAGTAGTGTTTAACTGGTTAAAACAACATTTTACCATTCAAAGAATTGAAGACACACTTACTACAGTTGATTTTGTCTCTGGGGTCCACAGTAACTGGAGCTGTTTCTATGACCAGCTCTACGTTTTTAATCTCATCCTGTCCGCCGCTGTGGGTCCACACTAACAGACTGCTGTGTCTAATCGACTTTGGTGACTTCACATCATTCTGATGGATCACAATTAAAACAAAAAACAGTTTAACATTTTTACTTCCACAAAGAATTAGGGGTTAGATTTTGTTTTCTTAAAGCGTTCAAAGACTTGCCTCAAAATTGACTGTGTATTCTATTTTCTGGTTCTGTTCCAATCCAACAATCCATTTATCCATCAAAAAAGGCGGCTGCAAGAGAAATATCATATATGTCAAACATTTGATTGTTACGGAGACAATATCTCCATTCAGGTTAATTTACAATGTCTTAAACTTTGACTTTTCAATTAAGGTAATATGTTTCTTGAGAGGTTTAAAGTAGGGTTAAAGGTATAGTGGAGGATGTTATTTTTCCGGGTACCTAATCAAAATAATTTGTCCTGCTAAGTGTCAATCATTCTGGTGATATGTTTACATAAGGCCCTCCTACGTGCTCGTCCCCATTTTCACTACCAGTGGTGAGTCTGACATAGTGGAAAACTTGCAAATCTTCTTTTGGAAAGTAAGCTTGTATTAGCAATGCAAACAGCAACTTTTAAACAGAGCGTGCACAAGGAGAAATGGGCTTTTGCATGCTCTTGCATGCATTTACCGTAATAGGCGTTCCCTCTTGGGAGCAGGTACAGGGTTGAGCATGTGCATTTTGTTTTTTAATGGAGAGGGCGGGTCTTTTCAAAAATTTGCATAAATCCTCCACTATACCTTTTAGGACATTATAAACAGACACTGTTCAACCCACCATCTAACAATGAAAAATGAAATGGCACTACAGCAAACTAACAAGAAATGGTCGTCCACCTAAACCAAAAGGCAAGGCAATGAGAGGAATCATTATAGGGGCAGAAATGAGACCCATGTTAACTCTGAAGAAGC